AGCACAGGGATGTGCCGCCACCTTTAGCTCCATCCCTCTCTCCCTCGTAGATTGATGTCCGTCTTGTGTCCCCCCCTCTGCTCTCTCTCTCTCAGGACTCTGATGGAGGCAGCTATAGTGGCAAAGGACACAGTTGTCTGTGGCTTTCAGAAGGAAAACATGGAGTGGTGCCTGTGTGTCTGGAGGGGCTGGGGCTGCCGCGAACTGGAGGTCTTCTACCGGTCCTACGAGGAGCTGGGCCGCTTGGAGAGCAGCATGAGGAGAAGAAGGTAGCTGTTGTGCTGCAGAATGGCAGCTCTGTGTGGAGGTGGGCCGAGGGGAATACACGGTGACAGACGGCCAGTGTTCGGAGCAGGGGGCCGGCGAACACTGAAATCAGGGGAACGTAGGGGTGAGGGGTGGGGGGGCTGAGTCTCCAGCTGTTCACATACTTCTGAACCCATAATAAGTTCAGAAGTAAAAGATGTGTGACCCCAGAGCAGACCCGAACAGCCCCTCAGTCACAGATCGCAACAAGAACAAACGGCGAGCTTAAATGTTTTTAGCAAATCATGTAAACACTGTGGAATGACTGGAATTCACTCCAAGATGTTTGTGTCCGACTCCGGCTGCTGAAATACATCATTTCTTTGTCTTTGTATTTTATTTGACTATTCTTATGTGCTACTTTATGGGCAGGGCCATTGTTACAGGACAAGTTGAGATGAGTCAGCTCTATTCTGGCCACAGTGTGTTCCTGCACTAGCATCTGTACCTCAGTAGAACTGTCCTCTGGGTTTCTCTTTCATTGCTCCTACTCTGCCTTTCCTTCACAGGTCATGATGCACACACTGGACACATTTTACATTATGTACATCTTTAATGGGTTTTTTGGATGATGCTACTTTATTAAAACAAGTAAACAAGATGCACTTTGTGTTCCCTGCTTCCGGTGGTATATTGATATGCGATTTTCAAACAAAACTCCAATTGTAAGCAGAGCTGTCACCAGATCAGCCAGAAGGATTGCGGCTCCCATGAGCTGTCCACAGTGTGGAAGGGTATAATGTCTCTTGGCTGACCTTGCAGTGGCAGAAGACGTCTGGCCCAACAGCAGCCCTCATTGTGTTTGCCTAGTCTTGCCTTGACATTTGTTTCTCTCTGGGTCTTTTTATATTGTGAAACACACAAGAAATAATAATAATAAGTACAAAAACTTGTGTATGTATATAGGGTAAGTATTTACGAAGAGGACTTGAGACTCACTCTGCTCTCCTGACTGCATGTGTTCAGTTCAGCCTGTTAGTATTTCACTTCCATAAAGCTAGGGACCTTCAAGAGACCATTTAAAAGATCAGGAAAGGTTCAATAATGCAGGGTGTTAGTGTCTCTCATCAGGCCGACTGCCAACAGGAAACACTAATGCTGTAAGGTCAGGCAGAGGTGTTACCTCTTCACCTGATGCCTATACTGATGACATCAGAAGGGATGTTTATCCATGGCTAGGCTCAAATAAACGGTATGCATTACCACAGCTTTAGAAATCTGTTCCATGTAAGACAAGAGCCTCTGTAGCCCCCCCCCATTCTCATGTTCCACATTCCTGTTGTACATTCCTCTTCTACACTGGATTATCCTAACCTCACCCCATCAGACAGCAGGGGGCAGTGGAATGAAGACTGAATGCATCTGTGTAACCCGTCAAACCAATGAATGCTAGGCTGCATTCCAGCATCTTCTTATTGCACTTCAAGTAATCTGGCACACAAGAGACACATTTAAAAGTTATATATTTAAAAATGATGAGTCCTACATTTCTATAATTCAACCACAGGCACAGACTTCCTTTTAGTTTATGTCTCTATATCTTAAAAGCTCACACCACCAGTTTTCATGGCAGCCATGATGGTGTGTCCCTTCAATGGCGTCTAAAGCAAGACCTGAAGATTTGGAGGGTCTCATTATAAATCAAACTCTTTCTCTTAAACTGAAAAATGAAGTCATGGTCCAGAACTGTCTGTGGGGCCATCACACCCTCTGTCAGACTGTCTGTTCCTAAGACTTCCTTAGTCTGCCATTCTTCTATTTTTTAGCTGAAACCTGTAGAAGTTTTTTCATTGACTCAATGATAACCAAAAAGGTTCCGGTTTGTTGCTCACATGGAAGTGCTTTATCAGTTTTGAATCATAAACTTGGTTGAGACATGAAGAATATGTCAGCATAAATGAGGCCACTCCACCCAGCCATACCAATACTCATATTGCTCGAGGCACAGGCCGAGGAGGTGGAGTTGCAGCCATCTTTGACTCAAGTTTACTTATCAATACTAAACCAAAATTAAATTATACCTCCTTTGAAAGCCTTGTTTTTAGTCTTACGCATCCGACCTGGAAAACTTTGCAGCCAATCTTATTTGTTACAGTGTACCGTTCACCAGGTCCTTATTCAGAATTATTATCAGAATTCTCTGAGTTTTTATCAACTTTGGTACTTAAAACAGATAAAGTAATTATCGTAGGTGACTTTAATATTCATGTTGACGATGATAAAAATAGCCATTAGTCAAAAGCTCCTGCAGCAGAAACCTATCTGTTAGTGCTATAGCCAAATTTAAGGAAGAGATTCCACCAATACTTAACTCGATAGCATGTCTGCATGTAAGGGAGGAAACTTATACAAAATGTACACCACCCCAAATTGATCATGTTGATAGTGCTACAGGTGCCCTAGACTCTGTTGCTCCTTTGAAAGAGAAGAAAATAAAAAAACATAGATTAGCTCCATGGCATAATGCCGAAACCCGCAAAATAAAGCAAAAGTCGAGACAACTTGAAAGGATATGGCATTCCACTAAACTTGAAGAATCTCGTTTAATTTGGCATATTACTCTCAATGAATATAAGAAAGCACTGCGTAAAGCGAGAGCAGCTTACTACTCTTCATTAATAGATGAGAATAAGAATAATGCAAGATTTCTTTTCAGCACTGTAGCCAGGCTGACAGAGAGCCACAGCTCTATTGAGCCTTCTATTCCCATAGCACTCAGTAGTAATGATGTTATGTGCTTTTTTAATGATAAAATTGTTACTCTTAGAAACCAAATTAATGACCTCTTGCCTTTGACCAATATAGTGAGTTTGGAAATTTGCACAATATAAATCTATTCTAGTATACCTCAACAATGGAATTATGATCAGTAGAAATGGCCATGACATGGGACCTTTAAGTAAAAGCAGTATACTGCAGGGTAGCTTGTGAATTTACTCCAGGTGGAACTAAAGTCTGATTTAACACTTGATTATATTTCACATCATTAATCCACATCTGTAAAGTAACTAAAGGTATTAAATACATGTAGTGGAGTATAAGTACACCATTTACCTCTGGACTGTAGTGGAGTAGAATTACAAAGAAGCAAAAGAAATACTTAAAGTACCTCAAAATAAGTACTTGAGTAAATCTACTTAGTTACTACCTCCACTGCAGGTATGTTATGTTTGCTAGCTGCCCATAATCCACACTATACATGAAATAAATCGACGTTAATTCTGTTTTCAATTTCTTTCGTTTTTCCCTTAAAAAATAACAAAATAACCTATAATAAAAATAATGTTAAGAACCGGATTGATAAGCAGTATTTGTAATTGTTTCAATTAGGCCTCATTATTTCACAGTGGCACAGGATCATCTGCCAATACAAGCACTTTGGTTCATGTTCAATCCATAATCAAATCTAAAATTATAGTTGGAACTTTTTGTCTTGTCATTATTAGCAGAGAACATGTAATGTGTGTACAACTATATACAATTAATTCTACCAATCTCAGTGGAAAATATCACTGAAAAAGGTTGGGAACCACTGATCTATGTGATATGAGATAAACTTCACTTCATGCAATCCTTTATTTAAGGAGCTATGTTGCCAAACATTGTCAATTTAAGCTTAAGAAAATATACATGTATAGGAAATATGCATCGGGGGACGCTACTGGAGCGGCATCGCTTCAGCCAAGTCATGTTTGCAATTCAATCTAGCTTTTAAGTTTAATAGAAAGATGAGCACAGCTCCAACGTAGTCCTTTGTGGTGACTGCGAGGGAGACTGGTGCTGACCTCGCAGCACATAAGCAGTGTTCCACTGACACGTCATGACATGGCTCTTCTGGTCCTCACTGGTTCTTTATGGACTTTTCAAACCTTCAGACGCTGGGTAATAAAGGCTGCTTCTCTGGTTAAGCTGGATCTTTTCTTTCCATGCTAGTTGTAAGTAGGTTTCACTGCTAATTCCTGTTTGATTTCTACTTAAATACAAAGTTAAATATCACACATGTAGTGTTGAATTTGTACACAGTAGTGCTGCCAATGTTCCTCTAGTAACAATTCCACCGCTGCTGACTGTGGTCAGGGCCCCAGCAATGAAAGTGTCATGCTGGCCTCCCACAGCATGTCTAGTGAAGGAGGGGAAATGTCAGAGGCCAGCTGCCTACATGTGTGTCTTTTAAAACGTTGCTAAGGCATGGCAATAGAACAGCCATGTGTAAAGTCACTCAATCTCAGTATTTCTGCGCCTCCATATATTATGATAATGAAGTTGACATTAGTTGGCAAGGCAGTCCTGACCTGGCTCTTATGGCTTACAGTTGAAACCCTGTGTGTTTGTTTCTGTGCTGTGAGAACAGTATTGACTTATCCCAGCATCAGCTTTGGAGGCCCCGTTTTATTGTCCCTGCAACAGCTGACTCAGCAATCACAGAACAACCAATGAGCTTCAACCGCACTGCTTCACACTTTCTTTTGATGTGTACCCAGTGAAATTCATATGGTACATTATTATTATTATTGGCTCTATCTCCATAGTGTTTTCTGTGAGAGCCAGTTATGTACAAGTATTTTCATGGACTTTACAAATGTGACCGACTGGCCCCACGGCCTCAGGGCCCTCAAAGACTATGCTTCTTAGATGTTGCTAAGGTAACAGGCAGGTGTAATACACTGAGAAAAATACCACAAGAGTAGCACATGTGAATACTTTTCCCCCATTTTATTTCTTTTTTTAAATAGAAAACCATGCCCACTTGGACATAGTTGAAAGAACAAAAAATACAAAAATGTCCAAGAAAATTAAATAAAAATAAGGACAATACAGCCATTCACCCTGTAACAACAGTCTTAAAAGTCAGCCATTCATGTTCATATGCTGTATGAGGAGCATTAAATCAACGGAGTGTTACACTGACAGGCGGAGCACACACTCACACACACATTTACAAATTAGAGACATGATGTGGGACACAGCTGCTCACATTTCAGCCGCTGCATTAAAGGCGGAACACTTCACCCATCACATAGGCCTGCTCACTTATTATCATTATTACTGTTAATAACAATAATAACATACATACTATTAATAATAATAACAATAATAATAATACACAGTCAGTGTCACGTTAGTGCCTATAGAACACACAGACGCACACACATGCACCTAAAGCAGACTGTGCAAAACTCTTTGGTGATAATGAGTGTAACAAAAGGAAAATGAAAACCAGCACCCCACAGCTGACATGGTCATACAATCTTTCTAATATACATATTTCAACAGTCAAAGAGAAGCGATGAGCCGGCAAATGCAATAAATTAGACAGCAAACGATGAATTGCAGATATAAAATCCAGCAGTTGGGTTCATAGAAAATGACTCCAGGATAAACAGTAACAGTGTTGTGTTTATTACCATCCTATAAAAACAAATACAAAGAAAAGGTGGCCCTTATTAATGATTGAGATAGCTGAGATCTGAGTTCTGTCTGAGACTCTCTCTTGTAAATATTCACAATCAAGAGTGGACCGCTGCTCTGCCCCGGTGTGTGTCACTGAGGGACACACTGAGAACACAGACACACGTGTAACAGGCTCACACAATATTCCTTCCATCATTACTTACAACATGTACTTCCATACTAGAACCCAGATTGTGTCTGAATTGATCATCATGGCGTATTGTTGTTTATTTTCATATTCTTTCAAAATATATCCATGTGAAGTCTGTCGTGTGAGTAAAAAATAAATACGGTAAAGAAAACCCCACGCAGTGAGAAAGGGGTTATGTTCTGGACAGACGGCAGATGTCCTCACGCTGCCCTCGCTGAGCCGTTATTGCTGGCCGCTCTCCTGAAGCCGTGCTCGTTCTTCTCCAGCCACAGCTCGGCCAGCTGCTGGCTGGAGCCGTGCGACGAGGCTTTGGAGCCCACGCACATCTTATATTGCTTTGCCTCCAGGTTAGGGTCACATATGACAGGGTGGTGAACGTGCACTATCCCCGTGTCTGTGCTTCGGAACAACTTCAGCCCGGACTGGACAAATTTATTGAAAAGGTCCACGTCCTCCAACCCCCAGCCCTGTATAGACGTGTCAAAGCCTCCAGCTCGGACCAGGTCTCCTTTGTAAACACAGACAATCCCAAAGCCGTAGTTCCTCCACAGACCTGTCTTGGAGGTAAATACGTAATGGTTGTTGCTAGGGACTTTCCCAGCATAAACCACCTTGGGGTCGTACTGGCTGAAGATAATGGGGAAGTAAGTTTGCTCTCCTGGGGCTGTGTTTGTCCGACAGCGCTTGAGGAAGTCACTGGTGAAGAGAAGATCCACATCACAGTAGAAGAGAAGAGAATCGTTGGAGAAGTGCAGAGAACCCACTTCCAGAGCCAAAGCCCTGGAGAAGGAGCCAGTGACGGGCTTTATCTCCATCTCAGCCCGGGGATACTTCATGTGATACTCTCTCATCAGCTCCACCTGCTTCACCTGCTCTGTGTTGTTGTCTGTGCTGAACAGCAGGATGAGCAGCTTCACGTTCTGGTTGGGGATCAGACAAACTCGTTCAAAGTTGGCCATGAATCGCACAAAGATGTCGTAGCGTCCCGACAGAGGCACTAAGATGTTGACCTTCTTCTCTTTAGGCTCCTTCTGGTCTTGGCCAGAGGTGGCCAACTTGAAGGGCACCAGCATTTTCAGGGAGTTGGACAGGAATGAGAGCGAGTCTGAATCTTTGTTGATGTGGCTGGCCAGAGCTCTGGCATCCATTTCCCCTTCCTCTCTGAACTGGATCTGGCTGAAGGTCTGCTGCAGGTAGGCGTGCCTCCTCACAGGCACAGTCATGGTCTTTCCTTTGTGCTTCTTGTACAGCAGCAACAGATCCAGCACATACTCTGCCCCGTATAAAGGATTCACTCTGCGGTAGCCATACTGGATTTCTTTGAAGTCAATGACCCGCCCCCGTGTCTTGGCATTGGCGTTGATCATCTCCATCACTTGCATGATGATGTCATCCAGGGCTTGCCTCTGGGAGGAATCCATGCCTCTGCGGGGCGGCTGCCCGTCAGATGATGAGAAGAGGTACTTCCCCGTCAGGAACTCCCACTCCAGCACTTCCTCTCTCTGCCGTGGGTGGAAGCGCATAAATGAAGGTGGCATGCCCAGCTGGAGGTCTTCTCGGCTGGGCTCATTGGCTCCATAGCGGCCCATCTGAACGATCTCCCGGTGGAGCTGGATGGTGCGGTGGCGCAGGTCTGCGATCTTCCGGCTCAGCATGTAGCTGTGCAGGCGATACTGGTAAGGAGGGTTTTTGTTGGGGTGGAGAGTGATGGCTCGATGGATCTTGCTGTTGTGGAGATCTCGTATGTAGCCCTTCTTATTTGGTTCATAGTTCTCATAGAAGAGCTGCTGCATCTGTGGAAACAGAAAATGGATAGTGTTATTTCCACTGAGGCCAAGTACAATTCAAATAAAAAAATGTTACTGCTAGCAAACAGCTAACTGCGTTGGGTTTCCACTACAGTTGACCATGCTGTGAGAGTTCAGAGCAGAGGCCAGAGCTGAGAGAATGAGCCAGACTATGTTTGTCTGGCAGACTTTGCTGCATATATGGATGACAGTATGATACATTTATCAAAAGCTTGTTGAACAAGCTGAATACAAACGTACAGGAATACGTTAAACAGCAGATATGCATAAAGCAAACTCCCTGTCCACTCACAGCTAGTAGGTTTTGTATGTGATGTTAATTGGGTGACTATATTTGCCTGATTTTGCCACATTGTCCTGCTGCTTTCATGATTGGTAATCCTCTCAGAAAGCCGGCTCTTGACCAGCTGTCATCCGCTCTGGATAACAAGGAAACATTGGTTGTGCCTGACATGATAGCAGTAATCTATGTTCTCCTGGAATTGATGCATAATCAATTCATTTGTTCTGTTTTTACATGAACCTACGCTAGGTGAGTAACCAACGTGTTTAATCCCAAATTCTTCTTCAAAAAGCCAGAAAAATGCTGTAGAAGATATTCTGCACTGTCCATGCTGATTGCAGTTATTCAAACCATTGAAAGAAATCGCCTACTCATTCCTGCCAGTTTCGAAACAATGACAACAGCCAATCACACTGCATGGGGCATTGCATTTTCTTGCGAAAGGCACACCACAAACATTTGAAACCGAGGCTCCTAGCCACTGACCTTAAACAGTGCATTCATAAATAATGATATAGCAAGAAGTGAGATTAGAGATGCAGGGTGTTGGATCACGGAGACCATTAGATTTATAAAGAAGGAATGACTTATATATGATCCGATCGCTAAAGGTGCACTACACAGTCCGCTGCACTGACTGAACACAAGTGATTTAGTGTGTACTGCTAACCTGATTGAGTTCTACAATATGTTAACATTGGCGGTACTTGCAGGATCTCACCCGCGGTCAAGAAGACCGTCTACTTCAAAGTCTAATTTGAGAGTAGGACTCTGGAATGCAGCCACAGGCCTGATTTCCAGGAGAAGGCCTTCCAGGGAAAAGGAGTATGAGGACAGGCCTGAGGGTTATGGGAAATGATACCTAAAGCTGGGTAACGCTCACAGGAACTGCCTGAGTCACTCTTTCTTTTCCATGGCTTCATGCTGCATTCCTCTGAGACCTGAGAGAGGGCGGCCTGCCATCAAACCACACTGTAAGCTTGTCTTTAATGCAACATTCGAGTCAAGCTGTGCCTTCAGAGGTGAAGGGTCAGTACATCCGAGACCAGGTCAATGCTTGTTCAACTAACAGAAATGGTATTATTCTTTCAGAGTGAAACACTGCCCACTGTTACCTGAAGTGAACTCGGGGTGATAAACCAGCATTATACAGACTTTAATGTCTAGAGCTTGGCAAGAGTGCTATCATCCATACTTATTCATCATTTTCATTGATCACTCTGCTTTTCATCCAATCATTCTTAAAATTATACATTTGACAGATGAAAGTTTTAAAATACATTCCTGGAGGCCTGAGTGGGATGCCCTCAGACCTGTCCCTGACTGAATATCTCTCCAGACTAAATGAAAAAGTTGGCAGTCCTAGTAAAATGTCACTGGTTAACGTTAATTCCATGAGCAAGTTGATGGCAGGCCAAAAACACGTTCCGGATTATCATAACATATACAGTTTATCAGCTTCCTAGAACCAGTATCAAGCTGCTCATGGCAATGTAAATGAAAGTCTACACTGGTTTATTATATTGATACTGTACATACCAGAGGATTATTGAGAACATGAAATCATAATTTGATATAAATATAAATGAGATAATAAAAGCTACAGGGCACATCAGACCTGACACAGACATGTTTGATTGCCATCTGAGTAAACTTAAAGGGGTCCATGTCTGAAAGGGTGGTCCTAACATGTCTGTTATATAAGCTTACACTTACTTCCCCATGCCTTTGTCTGTATTTCTTTAGTGAAAGTTTCCCTCCGCACAGTGGTCAGCAGCTGACATCAGATGTCAGGATGTTCTTGGATCTCCCCTGTGGCTCCAGCATCATTAGCACCCTACATGATCTCCACGTCTGTGCTCAAATCATGACTCCTTAGTGCAATTTCTTCACAGTCATCACCTCACAACATCCCTGCCCCAACTACAATGATCCTTTTACCAAGGCAAAAGGAAGAGAAAAAGTGTGTTTCATTCATCTCTGCAAGCTGATCATAAGCTACCACAGACCCACTCATTTCAGTAAGCATCAAAGATCAGAGCCACCAGAAAACGTGCTTGTCGTTGAATCTTTAGACACTAGGTTTGAACGTTCGATCAAACATGGAAACATTTCCAATATTTGAACTGTAATGACCTTTGGGAATGAAAATGTACAGTCAATAGGCCGCCGTATAGCTCAGATGGTAGAGCTGACGGCCAATGTACAGGACCCGGGTTCAAATCAGACCCGGGAACATGCACGTGTCATCTCCTCTGTCTCCCCCTTTCATATCTATCGCTCAAATACAGGCACTGGTTGCCCAAAACATTCTTTAAAAATAAATATGTATATATACAGTCCATAAGTGCAATGAACTATTGAAGCAATTTGCACTGCACTCCAGCAGACACAATTCACCATAACCTTGAACTTTTGAGCTATCCTAACACTCAGCCAATGGTATAATACAAAAGTGAGCGCAACCCTCCTGGCGTGATAATCGGGACAGAGATTTTGAGTTACAGTGTGAACTAGACACGTCATAGTTGCACCGCAATCTCAAGACACAATACACTGCTATGACACAACATGGAACAAGGCCTGTACTGAAGGGTAAGACACTATGCTCCATATAAACACTATGAATGTCAGTTACTGTTGCTATGGTGAGTGAATCAGAGCTATGTTAAATACAAAGTTGCCCCTCATGCAATTGGGAAAAAAACTGCAGAAATTGTCTAATGCAACTTGCCTCGTCATTTTGTGCCCACATCACGAAAAGTGTCATACAGACAGGAATACGTAAGGTAGCTAGTATTAGCTGGTCTGTGTATTGAATGTAAGGAAATGGGAAAGTGTGTCTTCCTAGTTCCTAACTAGTTGGCACACATCAACCCACGCTGACAGGCATGAGGGCAACACAGCTCTGGGGGCTTACAGATACCCCTTTCCCACCAAACCAGTTCCAGTTCTAGATCGTGCTCTTCTGGTTCCGAACCGGTTCTTCTTTTTAGCCCCAGTTACGTTTCCACCGCCCAGAGCCCGACTGGTGCTGCGTCATGACATCACCTTTTACGTCGCTGATTTTCTCCTGAACGCCGCTAACAACAACAACGGGGGACTCATGTTGCTATTAATCATACTTCTAGTCAGAGCTGAGTACGACTCCTGACATTTCCCTGTGTTTTGTTTTTATATTTGCTGCTGTAAATTATTGTCTTTTGTTGTTATTGTTAAGTATCGACCAAAAATCGTTTTTAAATGTGCTCTATAAATAAAACCTGATTTGATTTGAATCATACGAAGCCAGATTAAATAAAAAAACACCTTCTCCAACGTAATACTCTTTCCCAGAGTGCAGTGCTTCATTGTTTATTAATGTGGTTCAGCGGCATTTACCGACCACTGCAGTTCTGCTCGTCCACCGGAGTTTAGTCTACCGTTAACTCACGGCAGAGTTAGCGGTTAGTCTACCGTTAACTCACGGCAGAGTTAACGGTTAGTCTACCGTTAACTCACGGCAGAGTTAGCGGTTAGTCTACCGCTAACTCACGGCAGAGTTAGCGGTTAGTCTACCGTTAACTCACGGCAGAGTTAACGGTTAGTCTACCGTTAACTCACGGCAGAGTTAGCGGTTAGTCTACCGTTAACTCACGGCAGAGTTAACGGTTAGTCTACCGTTAACTCACGGCAGCGTCCGATGGAAAGCAGTAATGCTCCGTCTCACTGTCACACAAGCAACTGATGCCCATAAGTGAATGTGTGTCAGTCTGAATTTACGCTTTTTGGTATCACAACGCCGTTATTAAAGTGTCTCTGGTATTAGACAGGTGAGTGTCTCTGGTATTAGACAGGTGAGTGTCTCTGGTATTAGACAGGTGAGTGTCTCTGGTATTAGACAGGTGAGTGTCTCTGGTATTAGACAGGTGAGTGTCTCTGGTATTAGACAGGTGAGTGTCTCTGGTATTAGACAGAAGTGTTTTTTAGAAGTGTGCGGACGCGTTTTGTCACTTTCTTCAGCACCCCTGCCCCTGCGTCCGACACAAGCGCAACGTATTTGGTTCTTGGTTCTTGACGGGCAGTTGAGTGGGGCCAGATAAGAACAATTATTTAGGGGCCAAGAGCCAGCTCTGCTGCGGTGGAAACAGGAAGAACCGGTTCTTAATCGGGCACTAGCTCCAAACTGGCCCTGGGTGTTGTCAGAGCAATGCAGAGCACTGGCATGAACTGGCTGCACACAGGACTCATGTGCACCAACATGCTCTAACAGTTGGCAAGCTATGTACACAAAGCACAGAGAAGCTGGGATGTAACACAACAAAAGGGAGACGGACTCCTCCCTGTGACCATTACTTTGATCTTTATCCTGAGAAACCCCCAAACTGTTTGTAAGTGCAGCAGAAGTAGCCTTTTCTCAACATGTTGTTAAAACTGTGGGCATTCAAAGTGACTTTTCTATCTGCAAAAATACAAAAAACTGGTCAGGAGCAATCAGTGTTAAGAAACTCTTAAAGTGAATGTTAAAAAGTCAGTGTTAAAGAGGCCTATTCTGTTTCCTCTCCTGCATTGTGTTCTATGTGTGCATATAAATGCAAAGGCTCAAATCCAAAAGTTCCATCCAGCAGGAGTTTCTGATGCTACTGTCACACAGCAAAGTAAATGCATGCTAGGAGTCTTCCATCAGTATATTTGGCAGAGTGTATGTGTGTGTGTTTCTGAT